TAAGGAAGAGCCCCGTCTTATTTAATCAGAGAATGTTTCATGCAATTTAGAAACAAAAATATAGAAGGATGAAAGGAACAAATTCGTTTAAAATTCAGGTAATTATTTAGTTGAAAAAACACAGACACGTCGATTAGTGTTTTTAGTTGCAGATTTTTTGTAATTTTCTTATGTCACAAAATCCACAACAAAAAATATTAATCGACGTGTCTGGGCGTTTTTTCCACAAAATAATTAACTGAACGCGTAGGATTAATTCTATATAAAAATTAATTCTCATCGCCATTCCTTCAGAAGATGTATTTTACTCAATTCTATTTATTTACAGTTTTTAGTTGCGCGTTTCTCTCAAAACAGCTATCTATCACTTAGATCGATAAGAAAAAAATTCGTTCTCGTTAAGAAACATCCTTTCAATTCTCAATCTCGTTCCGATCTACTATTAAAAGAAGTTTTACATTAAATTCAGATAAGATCTATTCACTAGTCAGATCTCATTCAACAGGGTTTGCGAATCATTTACTCATTATAATAAATTATTTTCAATATCTCCCCAAAATCGCTAAATATTTCAGTGCAGTAAAATTGTATATATAGAATTCACAAAAAAAATTTGTTTAAAAAATATAAATACACTACTATATCAGAGATTATTATTGATTGTAAATGTCACCCCCAGATCAGATACTATGTTATGCGGTTATCTAATAATTACATCAATACGCTAAATAGTAAGATAAAGCAATAGTGGAATTGGAATAAAAAATAACTGGATATTTTCTAATCTAATGTAGTAGAACTAACCAGACTTTAGACTAACAAACGGGTTTATCACAATGTTGTTATAGGCTTTACGCCACGCGAAAGGACTTTAGAGACGTGTGTAAGCATTATTGATCTATTTTTGTGGTACCAAGTAAAATTTTGACACTCAGGCACTCGGGACTAGCAGAAGTGCTGGTAAAAAAATGTATGCATATTCTGAAATTAATTAATTGTCTGATTAATTAATATAACTATTAAGTAATGTAATAATATAATTAATTATTTAATTAATTAATTAATTAATTAAATTGAAATATATTTAGTGATTTTCACTTTTACGTTAAATTCTGGATAATATGTATTTGTCCACGTCCACACTTTACCGTTTTACTCAAAAGTGTTTGAAAATTTATTGACTTTATTAACGTTATTAACCACTATTTGGGAAAAAAACACCAGCTGTATATCATTACTATGTGATTCTGTGGTAAAAAAGACAATTCATACATAAGTGTCTGTTCACATTATGTAGATGTAAAAATTCTTATAGTATTCAAAGTTAAGTGTTAAATAAAAAATGAAGAAGACACCGTTGGGTATTTATTTAATGTTAAGTGATCAATACTTAAATTATTGATAGAACATCCCACCGATAGAGCTAAGATGAATTTGGTTAGGTATATTTGGAGAAATAAACGGAAATCGATTATTTTTTATAAATAAAAGAAGAATAATCAAATGACCAAACACCCACATATTTTTAAATTCATATAGGTACCTTTATTCAATCGCATTTTACTAAACATTTTTTTATTACAAAATATGTACTTTACACCGCATATTATCCTACCAATAATTAGAAGAAATTATAAAATTACATTAGAAATTATCAAGTACAGAAAAAGTACATATAGTACGAGAAATTTTCAGAAAACTGATATGGGGGGCAATATAAATTAAACTCATGAAATCGTAACAAAAAAAATTTACACTGGAAAATTTACATACATATGCATTTTCATAAATTAAAATATCGCATGAAAAATAAAATAAATATGTAAATAAGTTTTACATTCTTAAATAAATTAAGATGGAGAGATTTGCTAGATGTCGTCAGAGTATATAGACTTTGTATAAAGAAGGATATTGATTTCAAACAGTTGACCAGGAGTGAATTTTAGCACGAAGACATTCATTCAGAAAATACAGCACATATTTTATTTCACTAGAACAGTAGAATTTTTCAACGCCGTTTAATAAATTTTACACTCCAGATTACCTTAATTTACATATAAAAAAATATAGTTGCATATTAGTGGATATTTTAGTAAATAAGCTATTTGTATTTGATAGGGAAATTATAAAAAAATATATAGAAAATCAAAATTTAATATCAACAAAACTTTCTTATTTTTAAGTACCTACCTAATAGAGAAAGATGATAAATAGAAAAACTATAGTATAATCATTTTTTCTTACAAAGATTGTAAAGTAAACATATAATTTTGCAAAATATACAGTGTTTCCTGAAAATAACGGATACATTTTATAAAATCGTTAAGGAAAGTATTTATAAAAATAGCTTGAACAAATAGATATTTATTTTAAATTATTATCATTTGGAGATATAATTTTCAATTGCCCAATACCTCACCTCAATTGTCATATACTAGCAACAAATGGCAAAGTACCCCTTGTGATACTTTGAGTGCCAGTTTTTCTATACTGAATACAATAAAAAAATGTTTTCGAGATCGGTTGCAAAATAATGGAGATATTTACCGGAATGTATCAAATGAAAATGGCAATATTCGAGTAGGCGTTTATACGGCTACAGCAGTGTATCTCCTGTAAATATTGCGCAGTGTTTTGAGAAAATGAAAAACACAATAATTAAATTGAAAAATATATATTTTTGAAAGATAAAACAATGGAAAATTACGAATTAAGTTGAAATTAAATGTTCAGATTGCTGATTAGACAACGGGGAGAGAATAGAAAGACGTTTGTTGAACATTACTTAACATTTCCAGGTGATTGAACGGATTTCTTGTAGAATTTATTCCATTAAAGCTTCAATATTTTCAGGTCTAATAAAATTAACTTTAGTTATTAATTAATCCTTGAGAAAATAATCCAACGGAGTTAAGTACGGTGATTTTTTCATTTAATAGGTCCTCGTTTACCGATCCTTCCATTAGCAAATTTTACCTGGAGATATTCCTGGACTTTACATGCATATTGAGAAGGTGCACCTTCTTGCTTTAACCAAATTCTAGGATCAGATGAATCGGGATCTTCTGAATTAATTTTAATGAATTCAGGATATCTGTTGGAGAGTTCCGTCATTGTCTTACAAAATTGCGCTCGTCGATCATACACAGTTCCTGCATCTAATTGTATGTCTTCATCTAAAGTCGATGGCCTTAGCCTTATTTCGTATGTGTCCAAGAATTACAAAATTTGTTCTCAGTTAGACTTAGTGTTGATTACGATACTGGAAAACGGTTTTGAAGAGTTTCATTCAATACAATGCGTTCTTCATGCGTTTAACTTCTGTCTCCATACACAATCTGATGAAATCCAGCTTACTGAAGCCAAAACAATCGAAGTTTTAATGACTTAAAACTTCGATTCTTTAGGTTTCAGTAAGTTTCATTTTTGCTGTCTTAGTTCTTCAATTTGCTATTGTTTCTACTACCTATTGGTTTCATTTAGATACATTTTGATAAATATATCCGTCAACCAATTTAAAAAAAAGTTATATTCAGTATAAAAAAGCTGTTAGTCAAGGTATCATAAGGGGTAATTTAAATTTTTAGGGCTTAAAGGAAAGGGTAAGAGGTTGAAAATTACATCTCTAAATAATAATTTAAAAATAAAGATCAATATTAGCGAGATTTTTTTTGAAACATTTTATAGAATTTATCTGTTACTTTCAGGAAGCACTGTACTGTACTGTATATATTCCATTATTTTAGTTTAGTTTATCACACTTTTAAGAACGTCATGTACAAAATTCAGTATCTTAAAATAATTCTGGTTGAAAGCTACAATGTTTCTGCTTTGCATTTTTTTTACTTTGATCGTGAATCAACACACTTTCTATGGGTCGTCCTTGAATTTAAAATATATATTTTTTCTCTAGGTAATCACTTGAAGCGAATAAACCTATATACATTTAAAAATTATCAAGCAACTTCCAATCTTAAGCTTTTTAGCCATGAAACAAAGTGTCATGTAAAGCGGCAAACCATTTTAAAGGTTAATATATTCTTTTAACTGAATACATTCTATAAATAAGTTACCCCTAATTTTGATAACAAAAATTAACCTCATTAATCATCTCTGCAAAATTTATTCCTCATGATGAAGGTGGGTGTAAACTTCTAATTAAAATGAAGTGGAAATTTGCAAACGAAATGAAAAATGGAACGAAATACAACGAAATTGTTGAATAAATAAATTTAGAAGTGAAAAAGGTTATAATTAATTTTCGGTTTTAAACATCATACAGATAATTGTTTTCAATTAAACTTCTGGTGATGTTTACATTTACATTTGTGAATGTTTGTGAAATATTTAATAAATGCTGTATTATCAAATGAAACAGAAATATTGTTAAACAAACAATTGCTAATTAAAAAAAGTAGAATACATTTTGCAAATTCCTTCGTTATGAGAAGGTTAAAGTTTAAATTAACTGTAACCAAATTCATATTGTTTTCAGTATACAGAGTGGTTCGAATTGTATGCAGGAAACTTCGAACACCCTGCATTTTTTTACTCAGTCCTATGCAGATTTAAATATCCTTTCAAGCCATATAAGCATTGTTAGGATTGCCGTTACTACATTTAGAGATATTTGCAATTTTCTATTTTGTGGACAGTTTTTCTCGTATCAGACCTGTTCTCAAATTGGCCATCATCAGAAACACTTCAAAAACAATTGAAATAAATTGACGTTTGTCTAATTATTGTTACGTCTGAATAGATTTTGCTGAAAATTTAAATAAAAACGCATGGTGATCGTTTAAATTATACTAATACTAATGAGGATTATTTTAATTTGTTTGTTATTTATGTTCATTTTTACAAATATAATTTTTAATTTGCCTAGTTTAATACTTTTAAGACAGTGACACTGGCTATTATTCAATTTCTTCCTAGTTTTTATCCACTGTAGAAGAAAATTGCAGTTTAACAGCAAACTAAATACAACCCATCTCTTTCAGAGTACGTCGCTGATGGTTCTGCCGTTCATCCCAGCATCCAACTTATTCTTCCCCGTCGGCTTTGTGGTGGCCGAAAGGGTACTCTACATGCCTTCCATGGGTTTCTGCATGCTGGTGGGCTACGGTTTCCACATTCTCACTGAAAAGCGAGGAAAGCAGCTGGCGTATCTATTCCTGTCCCTCCTGCTCATATCTCACGGCTGCAAGACATACATGAGGAACTGGGACTGGGAAAACGAGTACTCCATCTTTATGTCCGGCCTTCGGGTCAATCAGAGGAATGCAAAGCTATTCAATAACGTCGGACACGCGCTGGAAAGCCAAGGGAATTTCCAGGAGGCGCTGAAATTTTTCAAGACTGCTGTCAGTGTGCAGGAGGATGATGTTGGTAAATGACTTTAAATACTTATTTTCAGTTCTATGCATGCAACTCAACACTTTTAATGTCTATAACAAGCTTATGGTGTTAATATCAATATGTATTGTAACTTAATAATCATTCTGAATTGATTTAATTACTTTCCAAATTGTGTGTATCTACTTTCGTCGTTTCTGCTGCCGTTGGTGGTGGTTATAGCATTTAAACTGAAAACTGATATGTAGGATACCGACTATTTTAATGAAAACTAGTATTCTGGACTGATCCACATATAGTATAGGAAAACCTTTTAAAACTATGATGAAATAATAACTTGCTAAATGGTTTCAATAAATTGAGTTCTATGCTGTGAATTTGGTAGGTTATAGTTATACAGGGTGTTTTAAATGAAGTAGCAAAAATGGTACCAGAGAATGTAGTGCCAAAAATAAAAGGATTGAAGTAAAAATATCTTATTTGAAAATTGCACCCCTGAGGCGATATACTCTCTTAAAGGAGGGGATTGAAATTCACATTTTATTTTTTTTTTAACATGGGGAATGCTAGAGACACGAAACTTGGTATGAGCATCCTACTAATGAAGAGACAACTTTTCAATATTTTTTCGATCATTAGCGTATTTTATAAAGGAATGAAACCCCATTGCAATATTCTATAAGAAATTTTTTATATTAAGAAAATTATTTATTTAAAAATATTTATTGGGAAGACCGATTTATTGCGCAACTTCTATTCCTCTTGTAATTTTTCTATAAAACCGATAGTTTTCTAGTAAAAAAATTAAATGCGTCATCGTTCACTAAATGGGTAACTGCGAAAATTTGTAAAAAATAAAGTAGGCGGATGTCATAACAAATAATTTGTTATTTAGCATATTAATAAATTGACACTTTCTATCGACCAATAATTAGTACCAATTGATTAATTTATTATCACAATAATTATGGCAAATAATGTTTATACCAATGTCGAGTATGTCGACATGTTTTTCGAATCCAGAAAAAATTGTAAAGCTGCAGTAAGATTATACCACCAAAGATATCTAAACCGAACTGAGGAAGCTATACTGGAACATCTAGATCAAGTGGTACAAGCACAATGCAGGTGTCCAGGCAACTGCAAGTTTCTCACAGTCTTGTGTGGAATGTAGCTCATGAAAATCTTTTATACCCTTTTCATCGTCAATCCGTGCAATAATTGAATGACCCTGATTTACCTAATCGCGTGGATTTTTGTCAATGGTACTGTAATATAACAACCCTAGGTTCGACAAAAAATAAGTAAACGTAGTTGTGGTCAAAAATATGTGTGATCGTCATAAGGACTACCTACGTTGTGTGTATCCATTTTTAATTGACCGGAAGGCGCTGGCTACTAACTTTGTAGAGGGGATGTATGGTTTAATTATATAAAACAAAAGCAGAGTAAATACACCTAACCTTTATTTACATACAATTCAAATTAAACATGTGACAAATAGAAAGAACAACAAAAACATTAACAACCATTTAACATAAAATGAGAGTGCCAGGCTCACCTAGAGCTCCTGTGGGGAAAGAGCATGGCAGAGAAACCCACGATCGTTGCTCTTACCACCCAAATATAAATACAAAACAACCGCTAACCAAAGGCATAAATTAAGAACCTTTGCTAATGATAAATAAGACCTGTCTCATTTAATGTGTCACTAAATGTCATCTGTTACCTCATATTAGTCATACACACTTCCAAGTAAAACTGAAGAGGTTTGGTGTTAGTTAGCCGGCAGAGCCGGAAGGTACTGGAGTCCCATACGGGAGGCAATCCAGCTATAGTTGAGATTTCGGAAGATCCTTCATAACACTGGAGTCCCATACGGGAGGCAATCGAGCTTAATCCAGATTCGTTCCGCACGGGCGAAAATGTTAGTAAACTCAACAAGGCTCGTATAGACGTATGACATAAAGTGAGCACAAGAAATCAAAGAACAACTTAATCATGATAAAACAAGTTAAATGTGAAACAAAGAGGTCGTTAATGCAATATCTGGGCAGTCACGACAATATACATATTTTAACATGTAATAAATAATGAGCAATCTATAATAATAATTGTAACAATTTTATCTTAGAAAAATATACGCCCCTGAGCGTAAGACAATGAAGGCTAAACATATACAGAATTATTATCATGAAACATCTATATTTTACGTATAACGTAATCGTGGCAAAAACAAGTTAGATGTGAAACAAAGAAGTCGTTATTGTAATGTCTGGCAATCAGGACAATACATATATTTTTAACATGAAATAAATAATGGGCAAACTTTAAGTATAATTATAACAATTTTACCTTGGAAAAATATATGCCCTTGAGCATAAAGCAATGGAAGCTAAACTTACAAAGAATTATTATCATGAAACATCTATAAACATCACAATCATAAGATTATATAGAACAATTAACAACAAAGTACTTAAAGAATATTACCTGCTACCTAATCCCAGTTAAACACGTTTATTTCACTACTTCTATCGTTTTTCACACTACACCCACGGTCTTACTTTTCACTACTCGCGGCACTCACTTCAACTGCCAGTCTTCAACTAACTAGGCTTCCTTCCAGAATTTCCTACCTAAGCGTTTTCTTTTTTTTCGGTTTCTTTTACCAACCGTCAATATTACTTTTTCATTATTGTGCAACACTCATGTAACAGGTGACGTCGAAGTGATAAGATAAGTACGGTTTTGCACAGTACATTAATATTTCCAGGCATGACTTAAATTTCCTAATGAATATACTTTTCACTAATGAAGCAAATTTTCCTAGAGTAGGTGATGTAAACCTTCATAATGTTCATTCATGGTCGGAAGAAAAAACTCATGAAATATTTGTTTCAAGATGTCAACATAATTTCAGTTTAAACATTTGGATGGGAATTATACGAAATACTCTAGTAGGTCCTTTTATTCTTTCACACAGGCTTGGGGCGGCCGAGTATCTTAGATTTTTGAACGAAAATCTTCCAACATTACTTGAGGATGTACCTCTCGCTATACGTCAGGTGATGTGGTATATGCACGATGGGGCGCCTGTACATAGTACACTTGTCGTTAGAGAAAAGTTAAATTTAAATTACCCGAATCGCTGGATTGGTCGGGGTCGTGACGCCCCTGTTTGTTGGCCTGCACGTTCACCTGAGGATACATAAAAAGTATTGTTTATGCTACTCCTGTTGCCTCCCTAGAAGAACTACGCTTAAGAATATTTCAGGCAGCAGATGCCCTTCGCAATAACCAAGAACAGTTTGTGGGAGTGCGTTATAACTTCAACAGACGTATTATGTTATGCTTGCAGCAAAATGGAAATTATTTCGAGAATATTCTTTAATTTTACATTTCTTGTTTTTCGTTTGTATTAAATTTTATTTCAGATAAATAACTTTACCTAATACATGTCCCATAGTATTAGGGGACAATTACCAATTACCAGCTTATTGACAGAAAGTGTCAATTTGTTAATATGATAAATATCATTTGATTTGTTATGACATTCGCCTACTTTATTTTTACAAATTTTCGCAATAACCCCTTTCGGTTTTATCGAAAAATTACAGGGGGTAAAAAAGTTCCGTAATAAATCAGTCTTCCCAACAAATATTTTTAAATAAGTTAAAGAAAAAAAAATTAAAATGTGAATTTCGATCCCCTACTCGCCTCAGGAGTGCAACTTTGATATGGTATTTCTACTTCAATTCTCTTATTTTTGGCTCTATATTCACTGGTACCATTTTTGCTACTTCATTTAAAAACACCCTGTATAGTAGGTATTTCCTACTGATATTACAGATATTAATTATTATAATATTAGCAGTTATTTATGTTCCACATCTATTATAGATTACACTTAGGCACAGTTATAGTTTGTGAGTGAAACTATTAAGGGAGAATTGACAAACTTTATTCAAACCTGAATTTCTGTTACCTCCCAGTAAGTGAATTTTTTCTTTGTTAGAAGCATGTTAAAACAATTAAGGGTTATATTTTCTTTTACATGATTTAAATTTAAATATTATTTCGTTAATTTTTTATTCAGGCTTGATTGTAGTGAAATTAATAAGGCACTATATAGGTACTTACCTATTTCACTTTCCTCAACATATCGAATTTAATATACATTCAAATAATGTACTGTTTTACCAAATTTTCTTAAAATGGGTTCTTTAAAAAAGAGAGTCAATAGCCGAAAAGAAAATTCGAATTCAAAAAAATATATACAGGGTGTTTCGCATTAGAACCGACACAGACAGGGGCTTGTAGGGGAACCCAAAATATGGTGATTTAACGCAACTTACCTTGGTACTAAACTGTACCCCGCGAAGCTATACGCCCAGTGGGTACAACTTTCGAAAAAAATAAGTGTCTTAGACTTGAACTTAGAAAAACTAAATTTGGTAGACGGTGTGAGTGTACCAAGAGACAGTAAGTAGAGTTCAATTGAGCATTTTAAAGGGTTGATAAGGGATGATGCACCATTAAATAGTGAACGATTTTTTTAACCCGTTGGCGGACTTAAAAAATTATTATTTTATTTTATGAGGAATTTAATTCTAAAACTTCTCTTACTCTTGTTAGTTTTCAAAAAACGTCGTTTTCAACAAAAACACGGATAACTAATAATACGTACTATTTAAAATCATCGAAAATTCAAAAGTCGGCTGTGAATTTAAACGACAAACTGCTTTTGAAAACTAACAAGAAAAAGAAAAGTTTTATAATTAAATTCCCCATAAAATAAAGTTTTTAGGTCCACCAACCGATTAACAAATTCTGTCAAATTTGTATGGTGCATCGCCCTTTATCAACCCTTTAAAATGCTCAATTGAACTCTACTTACTGTCGATTAATACTCTTGGTATAGTCATACCGTCTACCAAATTTGGTTTTCCGAAGTTCAACTATAACCGAGATATCGAAAGGTTAAGTTGCGTTAAATAACCATATTTTGGATTTTCCTACATGCTCCTGCTCTGTATCGGTTCTTATAGGAACTGGAAACATCTATCCACTCAGATTTCGGTAGAAGTGTAATAATTAAGAGTTTTTTTTAGAATATATTTATAATCTTTGTTATATTGGAATGTGAGTAATCAATTCTAGCTCAACTGTGTATTGTCATGCGCTACTAAAATTGTCAAAATGTTTCATACTAAGTGAAAATAATTTCAATAATTCAACTCATTGGATTCACCCAGTACTTTTAATGTGTCCACTCACACCAATTTATTATTTAAACGATTGTAACACTGTTTTTGTTTTATTAGAACACAGTGTATATTAAGAATCTCACACGATAACGTTCTTTAATTTATTAGTTTTAAAGATCTTTATATGTTATGAAAACTAAGATTGTCAAGTTTAAATTTATACCTAACGAATTAAAAAAATACGGTTCTTAACTATTTCATTCGAAATCCCTTTTAGCTGTTTCTTTGTTAACAAAATTGTCCTTCTACCAAGGATAATTTCATTTTTTGTAGGAAATAAACAGAAGAGTATCTTTCCTTTCTTTTAAACATGACATATTATTTTCTACTTCATTACTATATTACTTTTCTACGTTTTCTATTATGAGTTGTAGAAAAAAATAATATTATCGACAGCAGAAGTTATATTAAAAGCAACATTGGAAAGTTAATTTAAATGAAAGGTTATTTTACATACTTTTAGCATAAAATAATGCTGATAATGATATAGAATTACATTTTATGATTAATGTTAAGTTAAACAAAATTAGTTTTCTAAAAATATGTTAATTTAAATTGAAAGCGTTCAAAACACGTCTGGCTTATTTTTTCAATCATCAACTCAGACGCTAAAGCCAGTTTAAAACTAAATAATATTGTCCGTTAACTCTACATTCTTTATACCGTCTGCAAATCTAGCCTTCTGCCACTATACTCGTATGCCATTTACTAACAATTCACTGCTGTAAAGTATACAGGGCTGGGAAATCCACATGGTCCATCTGCTTTTACATGAGAGCGACAAAATAAAGTAAAGAAATCCGTGCGATAGACAAGGATGGCTATAGTGAAGACGTTTCATAATCTGAATAGTCCCCGCCCGTTTCGGGTTAGAATTATTCAGATTATGAAACGTCTTCAAGGTAATCATCCTTGTCTATCGCACGGATTTATATGACTTACTTTATAGCTCTCACGTAACGGCCGATGTACCATGGGGACTTTCCAAACCTGTATACTTACATATGTATTACAGGAAAGATTATTTCGAGCAATATCAGGTCAATGGAAGTAGACTTACTTAAATGTAGTAGGTAGTGCATATTCTGCAGGAGTCCAAGCTAAGATGCTTGTATATTATTTGCTTTAAGGTGAAATACATGAAATACAAAGTAACCTGATTTTGATTGTATTTTTACAGGCCTTTAAATAGGTACTGTACAATTCGGTACGCAATAGAACAACAATAAAATGTTAACAATTTAGGAGAAACATATTCGTATCACACAGCCACATTTACACTGAACAATAAGCGTCAGAAACACTGTCCGTAGTTGTACATAGCTAGTACAGCGCTATGTGTGATTCTAGTATAACGTCGGCGACATACTTGTGATGGCGATTTGCGGCAGTGTCCCAGTGGCTATGCCCAAAACTCCAGCGTTGTCGCTAGTTTGTCACCATAACACTGATAATTAGTCTAACAAAAAATAGGTCTTTTATTCGTACCAAATCTTAAACAGTGCCTATATAACATTACCAGGAAACAGTTCCTGTAATTTACAAAATTCGTATTCCTTTCCAACCATTAAAAATTTGTGTACTAAAGGCATGATTCCCTCTGGGTAAAGAAGTTAACTGGAAATGAAAATCTTTTAGATGTAATTTGCATTGTACTTATGAATTAAAATAAAATGAATATTCTGAAATTAAATTAGAACGTTGTGTATATTTTATCTTATTTTACTTTCAAATGAACATCAAAGTTTAATCTCTGAAGTGAAGGAAAGATATAAAACAAACAGCATTGTTAAAGGAGACTTTTCTTTAGCATCGTGTCTCGGTAACAGTAGGCTCTTGTATATGTGGAAGTCCTTCTAAATGCCATTACCTTGTGAGCCGAAATGAAACAGATTAAAAATAAATTATGTCTGTAGTTTCACGTACCTACAAGACTTGAGCATCCTCAAAAATGTTATATTTTTAATGTAGCGTATGTATTTTTAATGTAGCTGTTTTAATGTAACTGAAATACTGAAAGAGCCCATCAGATTAAAAAACATCTTTTTACTTATAAAAGACGGCCTAAGAAGTAAAATTAAAAGAATACAGCAAATGCAGAATCGTATACAAATAATGACTGAATTGAAACATAAGAATATAAAGATTTTTAAGTAGTTGTTGGAGTTTGAAATAATTTTTTGGATCTTTAACACCCAGTATATTGAATGCATATTTATATATATTTTTTTATTAATTTGAATATTATTATATTGCCGAGTATTTTAGTGGTAACCTAAGAACATTTTTTGATGTTTATTTTACAATTTTGTCTAATTAAAAATATTAAGTTAATATTAATTTCAAAATTTTTCCTAAATTTGCATCAAGTGAAGTTACAGAATTAAAAAAGTAATAAAGAACTATCTATCTAACTAGTACTAAAGAAACAAAACATGTACCTAATATATTGAAATCATTAAATACTGCTACAATCCTCTAAATAAAGTATATCCTTTTGTTTTGTTTTTCACAAGCATTTTGAACAAAAACCATTCAGAATTCAGTCATCAATGAATGAACTTATTTGCCAATTTTTTGAATTACATTTAGAAATACCTAAGTCTTAAATATACCTCTGCAATCCTAAAGAAACGTTTTTAACAAAACAACATGTAAAAATATTCATATTTATGAGAGTTCTATTTATATCTCTGTGGAATAAAATGCGATGCCCAATTATTATTTATTTAATAAAAGACGAATTCCTTATGAAAAATTAATGAATTCATCATATTTACCTTATCCGATATTTTCAAAGAAAAGGTTGCATATTTTTATTCTATCACCTTTCTTTGTCTTACAGTAATGAAAAGAAAAAAGAACATAAGAATACAATCGATTGTTGTGTTCCAGGTGTCTGTGTTTTTTTTTAATGGACTACCCAGTATATCATTTTTTTAAATCATATCTTTTTTTCTGATTAACATTATGCCCATATACATATTTGTTTTGACAATGACAGCGCAACATTTTAATTTATCTATTGACCTTATCTTATGAGCAAAGTGAAAGTTGAGCTGGAATCAATGTATAATTATGCAACTGTCAAATGTATTTTTATTTATTTCCTTGAGATCTTAAGAAAATACATTAAACTTTGACCTTTCACATTTTTCTTCCAGACAAGAAGGTAAAAAGAAAAGAGCATCGAGTGCTATGAAAATGTACATACTTTATGCTGAGGCCCCATTTAGTTACCGTGTAACGTCCATTATCGCGTTAAAAAATAATAGATTAAATTACGTGGTAAAGTGAATAGCTACATTCCTGTTTGATGTCACTTAACAAATAACGCGTTATTGGATAAAATAATTTCATCATGGAGATTGGGGCCGCTTTACAGTTGTAGGTATCATATGAGCGTCAATTATTATTTTATGCTTTTTGTCTAGGATCCGTATGAAACAATTTTAAAAATTCTATTATATTTTTTCGTTAGACCACTCCATTTTTATGCAACCGTATTCAACCATGCTCAAAACTCTAATACGTTGCAATAGACAATGCTAGTGTAGCCATCAATGCGATAAATGACGGCTAAGTCGTGGTTACACCTACGTTTAATGCAAGATAGTGCGATAATTAACGGCATTGGACGTAAGTGTGACCCCAGCATTAGAATTTATTACATTTATACAAATTACCTCTTTTTGAGGATTGAGAGCGTTAACCGCACTGTCCCCTGGTCATGAACGGCCTAACTTTTCCTAAAACTGTGGTCAATGTCAACAATGCAGCAAAATAAATATACGCCAGATGACATTTAATATCACGAATTTATTTCGCTGGTTCCGTGAAATTGTAAACACACTTTATAGAGTGAAACGTACTTTCTGCCGCTCCGAAAATAGTAAGCCATAAAATGGAGGGCGAAATATTTTCAGCAGCGGGTTTTTCAATTAATTTTCTTGCTTTTTCATAGGCGCTCACATAAACGTCGGCAGAACCTACAATCATCTAAAGATGTTCAAAGAGGCTGAAGAGGCGTACTTGAAGGCGAAATCCCTTCTGCCAAAAGCGAAACCAGGAGAGTCCTATCAGGCCAGAATAGCTCCGAATCACTTAAATGTTTTTTTGAACCTGGCTAATTTGATCTCAAAGAATTCCACAAGATTGGAGGAAGCGGATATGTTATATAGGCAGGCAATAAGTATGAGAGCAGATTACACTCAAGCATATATTAACAGGGGGGATATATTGATAAAGCTGAATAGGACCAAGGAAGCCCAAGAGGTTTATGAAAGGGCCCTTTTGTACGACAGCAACAATCCTGACATTTATTATAATGTAAGTAGGTACTTTGATTTACTAAGGAACTGAAATATTATCCTTTACTTCGGCAACAGTATTTTTTAAGGAAAATTACACTTTTTGTTAGCTACAAAGTGAATTCAATGCTATACGGAGTGTAATAGAGGTGTCGTGAAAATATTCAGGACTGATTTTTTTCATGAAAACATACAAACAAAATTAAGGGCTTTATGATCAACTAGATCAGTTACAATAGCTTCAAGTACAATTTCAAAAATTAGACTCTGGCTAATTATAGGGGTCTGAGGAGTTTCAACTGAGTAGTGGTTGGTTCCTTTGCAAAGAGTTATGTTATAAGGAACATACATAAATCAATTGCAGAAGAAGACTTAAGATGTCTTATAATAAGTGGTCAAAAATGAACAGGTCATCTAACTGTGGCTATTGACTAAAATTTTGTGTTGTAATAATTAAAGTATGTTGCTACGGTTACTAAAATTGTCAGCTAAATATCATTTGAATGTGTTAAACTAAAGTGTAGATTGGATATATTTTTGGTAGAACATTAGATATAAGATCTTGTTTCCATATGAGTAAATTTACTTACTTTACTTACCATAAAATATTTACTTATTTGACATAGATAAAAAATAGGTAGATAGATCAATATATTCAGTTCCGAAAATTATGTGCATTATATGAAGTACGTTAATTATTATTTTTGTATTTTGCCATGAAGATGAAACTAAAATGCGATTTAGTAAGCTTGTGCCTTTGTACACATTTGTATACATTATTATTATTATTATGCCATAAATTTCATGGAAATGAACGGAATTGAAATTATAATAATTATGAACTTATAAAATTAAGTTTTTTTCTATTAATTAGTGTCATAAATTAATATTGGTTTAGATGGTTCGTAATCTTAATTTAAAGAAACTTCACAAGTAGGCTGCAACATTTATTACATTAGGTAAAAATATTGCTACTGTAAAAAAGTAAAACGTCAAAATTTTCTATATTTTTGAACTGAAATAATTAACATTTGTACCTGTTTGGTTGACCCAATATTTGTGTTTTCCAATAATGAAAAAAAAGGATATAGTCATATTTTGTGTCAATATATATCTACGAAAAGCAGAATGAAACAGTATGGTTCCTTCCCATCTACTTTTTGTAATAGATTTTTTACTATTATATTTAAAGTTTTATAGACTATATTTTTGATAGAAAACGTCCGAAATCATAAAACAAGAACGTCATATCTCTTAAAAGGGTTTATCTAAAACCGTTATTTTACTCTATCTAGGGATATGGTGAATCGTAACTACTCTGTGTCCAAATAACTTCAGAAGTTCGAGTACTTTTAGAACACAAACTTCTAGTGTCTATACCTACCTCAAAGGGAATACAAACCCTTTGCATAAATTGAATAGAAAATAAAAAAAGTAAAAACTTGTATCGATTGAAGTAAAAATGTCTTGCTTTGATTAAATAATTTCTTGGAAAAATATAATCCCTTCTTTTTTGTTCCTTTTGCAGGCATATTCTTAATGTGAAAACACCACGCGCTTGGTACAAATTTCTCTGCTCCCTTATTTTAAAGAAAATTGCGTTTTTATAAGTCTCAATTTTACACAATACATAAAAATAGAGATGCTACATATTATTTTGATTTGAAGTTCTTAAAATATAACTACTAGTTGCTGTTTAACTATTGAATATATTTTAATTAAACAGGGTGTTTAAAAAACACGTACCATGGCTCGTGAGGATTCTTAATTCAAAAATAAGACTAATAGTTATTTAATTTATATGATGCAGATTATTAAATTATTTTGTTTATTATTCCTAAGATGGTTTATTTTTGATTTCTAATACGAATTTATGTAATATTAACGGAATTGTTAAGTTTCATTAATTTTTCTGCATATTCGGGTCAGTACATGATTTTTATTACAAATTTTTGAGCTACTTGTAGATCTAAGATTTACTTAAATTCGTTATTACAAGATTTCCTGGGATATATACAGGGTGGCCAAAAAACGAAACAGAGCCATTTTCAGGAACTGCGTCAAGATTGTAGAAAAATGCTCAGATCCATCGATTTTAGATTAAAGGGGAACATTCTTTGCTGGTATTTTTGACTCCGTCACTTTCACCCTCAAGCAAGGGTAACCATCACCCCAAAATATTTAAATGGCATTGGGGATTGAGTAATATTTCTGTTGAAAGCTCTTACAATTCTCTTTACAACAGACTTTAATTTTGATTTTAAAGTAGAAACTTATGTACAAACAATTAGTAACGGTAAAAATGTCAGTCATTCGAGTTAAGTACGCCAATGGTATAAATTTAGTATTTCTTGCGTTACATTGGTTTTTGGCGATTTGTTATCACTTTCGTAAAAAAAACACAATTGTAAAAAACAGAAATTAATGCTATAGACACACAATGAACGTAAAATTAGTGGATTCCAAATTATTTTCTAGTATTATTTGGAAGCGTTGGTTGCTCTTTTCTTAGTTCCTAAATTAAAATCAGTGCTGCAGAGACGCCGTTTTCAAACTATTGATGGCATCAAAGCAAATTCTTCACACACCTTAAAGGCGAATTCAAATATATTTTAGATAATGATGTTTTACCAACTTCTGATCCGATAAATTTCAAGAAACAGTCACAACTGTTTATATTCGAAGCACCTTTTGATATTTTATAAGAAATAGACCAATTTACTGCTTAAAATTCAAGATAACCAACTATTACAATAAAAACTTCAGTAAACCAAAAAGTTTGATGGTTTCATTGTTTATGCTAAACTAACGTACCTCTACCGCTGGTTATTTATGAAAATTATCTAAAAATATACCAAAAAGTCTGGAATAATTTCCCGGGTAAATTATTTTTGAAAAATGTTAAGGTCATTTTTGTAGTAATTTTTGACGAGGAATTCAATGGTAACCTTGGATTTGACCTTGACGATGACCTTGAAGGTTATTTCAAGGTCTCCGTAATTTTTTTGAAATGGAAACGGAAACCCCCTTTTTCGACGTCGGTAATCGAAAGAGCGGGAAATTTTACATGAGAGGCAAGTGGACTCACGATAATAAAGCACCCCAAAGGGAACATAAATTACTACGTCCACGTCGGGATAACGCTAAAAGTAAAAGTATGAAAACTTCCGCTCTTTTGATTGCCGACGTCACATGAGGAGATTTTCAGTTAAAAAATGACCTTGAAATGACCTTGAAGGACACCGAGAAGGTCGAGTTTGAGGTCACCACTACATAATTGTAATTAAACAAAATAACTAAAGTGAGATTTGTACTATTTTCATCAACTGCGTCCTTCGGAGATATCCAGCTCTCAAATTTAAATAACCTTTGTATGTTCTTCAAGGTCAACCCTGATTTATGACCTTAGAAAGTTTTTGGTCGTAAAATTTCCCGCTCTTTCGATTGCCGACGTCGAAAAAGGGGGTTTCCATTTAAAAAAATGGAGGTGATCTTGAAATAACCTTCAAGGTCATCGTCAAGGTCAAGTCCAAGGTACTATTCAATTCCTCGTCACCTCGTCAAAAGTTACCACGAGAATGACCTTAACAATTTTCAAAAATAATTTACCTGGGAGGTGTTTTCAGAGTTTTTGAACATGACAAAAAATATCTAGTCGTTTAGAAATTAAAAATTGTTAACTGCTCAATAAATTACTGTCAGTTTTATATTCTACATTTTTTTGGTCATTTTAGATATATTGGAACCATTTATTTATCGTACAAGATATTTTACAAATAATTTGATGAATTTCTTGAATTAGATACAAAACTGGTAAACGTAAAACTGGTTTAAAATTATTTGTTAACTAAATTAGTATTGCCTTCTAATATTTTCCATTTAGATTATAAGCAAGTACTGTTTTTAGAAGTTTTTTCCATTTCTTAAACTCAAAAATTCTAGTTCTAAAATTTTACCATACTAAACACTAAACGCTCAACATGTACGTCATTGTGAATTAGCAACATATTTCTCCTTGCTGGCCCGCGAAACCTTACAGCTAATTCCGTACCTCGCAAGACCTGCAAAATTTTAAAGTAAAACAAAGGAAAACAAAGTTGCGTTATTAAATATTTTATTATTCCAGCTCGGTGTGGTTTTTCTGGAGCAGGGCAAAGCCTCCCAAGCCCTCGCATATTTGGATAAAGCCCTGGAATTCGACCCGGAGCACGAGCAGGCTCTTTTGAATTCGGCCATTCTCCTGCAGGAGTTCGGACGGCCGGAGCTGCGTAAAATCGCCAGAGAAAGGCTACTGAAACTCCTGGGAAAGGACGCGGATAACGAGCGGGTCCATTTTAATTTGGGAATGCTCGCCATGGACGAGAAGAATATCGAGGAGGCAGAGCACTGGTTCAGGCGGGCGGTTCATCTGAAGGCGGACTTCAGGAGCGCGCTGTTCAATTTGGCGCTGTTATTAGCCGACGATCAGAGGCCCCTGGAGGCGGCGCCGTTCCTCAATCAGCTCGTCAAGCATCATCCGGATCACGTCAAGGGACTGATTCTTTTAGGGGATATTTATATCAACAACATTAAAGACTTGGATGCCGCGGAGAACGTAAGTAAAACTTGTTTTATTGTTAAAGTAGTACCTACCGTTATACAGGGTGATTCAGAACTTATCCAAAAAAAAATTTTGGATGTACAGGGAATCCTTACAAATACAATTTTGTAAAGAAAAAATCAAAACGGGCAGTTCAAAAATGATTTAAAAATACCCTTCTGCACGGCACTGGAAACTAGTCCACTGTAAAACCTGACCTCGCACAATGCGACCGGCATGGCGGTGTGATAAAAATGGACAAAAACTCTCGTAAGGAAAGAAATATGTAAATAGAATTTTATAGCACCTATTTTATATCGGCAAATTCAACTGATTTTGCCTTTATTAATTAATAAAATTAATTTGTGTTTTTAAATAATAAAATCATTTAACATACCCAATGTTACAACAACAATTGTTCAAAATTTTATCCACCAACGTGTAAACACATTTGGGTCCGTCTTACTCAGTTTCTACGAACTAACACAAATGTTGTCTTGCTTCACCATTCCACAAATGCTTCACCATAAATTAAAACGATATTCATCAACTCCGAGTTGCTATACACGCAAACCATTTTTGACACTAACTACCCATTTTTGACACTAACAACTAAAAAATTATTGTAAACACCACAGATAACAGGTAAACACTATCGCAACGACGATTGCAAAATCGGATTTTAGTATTCGGAGTCGCTGAGGCCACGTGGTTCTCCACGCGTATTACGAATGGCGCTAGAGACTACAGTTGTCCAGCTATGTAGTGATTGAATGTACTATACCTTCAATAATTTTTTTCCGGAAACTATAAGGATTTTACAAAAATTTTTTTTACGATATTGACTCCATTTCACATGCCGCATCTATTCCCAATTTTTTTTGGATAAGTTGTGAATCACGCTGTGTAAAATGAAAAATCCTTTGTTATTAGAGAATTATAGACCTGTATATATGCTTAACAGTCTATCAAAAATGTTTGAATATGCGACAATTTGGTCAGGCTATTTAAATTTTTGGTAAAAATAATATTATCGGAGTATTAACATGGATTTCAACTGCTAAACTCAACAAGTACAGCAATGTTTGCTTTTTTTAATCAAATAATTGAACTTTTTGACGCAGGAGACAGCCAAGTCAGAATACTATGTGACTTGAGGCGAGCTTTCGCCTGCGTCAAACATAATAAATTGTTTAGTATTCTTGAAAACTATGGAGTTGGAGGAATTGCTTTAAATTGATTAAAATCATTTTTTTTGTGTGACCATCATCGAATTGTGTCTTTGCCTATAACAAATAATAATCAGAATTCTCAATTTGAATCAGAAACTTTAAATGTTGACATGGGGTCCCACAAGGATCTATCCCGAGTCCAATACTATTTATTTTATACATGGTGTCCCGTTCATGTTTCAAAAAAACTTGTGTGCAAGTTTCTCACGGGAAAATAATAGGGATAGTTCATGTAAAGTTTTTTTCTTAGACGCCCCGTTTTCGAGATACAGTGTGTTGAAGTTAATTATTTTTAAATCGGCTAAAGATAAAAATATCAAAATTCGTACAAGAGTAAACATCAACTGTGCGTTAAGAATAATGTGCAAACAATTTCTTTCTGAAAAGCACTGTCGCCGATACAGGTAATAGGAGAGGTACAATCGAAAAAAAAAGTGTTGAAAGTAAAAATTTATTACATCCCTAAACGGTTCTGTAAACTCTAAAGCATACTACAAAAAAAAGGTATACCTGTCGAAAGCACGTACCATTTTCGAGAAAAATGAAGTTGCATAGAAGGAAATGGGGGACAATTTCAGTATCTAATGTAGTACTTCGAGTTTGCACATTTATTTAATTGTGCAGCGGTTTTGTTCTGTATGTCTTCGAGTCTGTTTCCTAATATTTTTCTGTTTCTATCACTTTTTTATGCACTCATGTCCATCAACAATTCAGTCCATTCAACAATTGTTTATTTTAGTAATGCTAGTGTAGTACTCTTAGTTTACAAAATCCAAAATTAGTTAATAATATATAATTAATTACCTTATTCTGTTTATTTTGATTTACTGTTTTAAGTGTTAGTTTGCAGCAAACTGAAATTTAAAATAAATTATATTTTTTTTAGTTAATAAAATGTTTTACAATTTATCTGTTTCATGTGATCCGTAAGAAATTAAAATTATAGTCTTAAATGCAAATACTGTTGGTAGCTAAATGTCTTCAGCTCATTCAATGGTATGGTCCTCTTTCAATTTAATATTTTGTTAATTTACTTGTGTCGCTTTATGTGAGCAAAAAAATGCAACTTCATTTTTCTCGAAAATGGTACATGCTACCGAATTTCGACAAGTATACCTTTTTTTAGTAGTATCCTTTAGAATTTACAGAGCCGTTTAGAAATTTTTACTTTTAACATATTTTTTTCTTCGATTGTACTCCTTCAACTACCTGTATCCATGGCACTGTTTTCAAAAAGAAACCGTTAGCACATTATTCTTAACGCACAGTTGATGTTTACTCATGTACAAATTTTGATACTTTTATTTTTAGCCTATTTAAAGATAATTGAGGAAAACCATTTGGAAAGTAACATCTTCAACACACTGTATATCGAAAACAGAGCGTCTAAGAAAAAAATGTTACATGAACTACCCCCATTATTTTCCCATGAGGAACATGCACACAAGTTTTTTTGAAATATGAACGGGACACCCTGTATACTAATGAAATGAATTCTGCTGTAAAGGGGTATCATCTTACTGTCTACGCGGATGGCGTAACGTTGGTAATATCTGACAAGAATCACGACGTTTTGATGCGAAGGTGTTCTGACGCTTTAAATAATTTATTACAAATTCATAATTGCCAAAAAAAGTAGTAAGTAAATATTACGATTAAAATTAATAATACTTTTTTGTTTCTTTCAAAGACGAAATAGGATTTTAGGCCTTTATATCGATGAAAATTTGCATTGGAAGCATCACTGCGATAAGTTATTAGTAGCTTAAATAAATTAAAATTTCCTTTTATAAATTTACGCAAGGTATTAAAACAAAATCAAATTTTAAATACGTATTTTGCAAAAGTTCTGTGTTGGTTCGGCTTCTAGTCCTACTTTATTTATTGCACAAAAAAAGATTATTAGGTCTATTACCGGAATATATCTTCTATGGAATCGTGTAGACCTTTTCTTAGGAAATATGGAATTTTAACGTTAACATCGTTGTATATTTATGAATCATGTATTTAACAATGTGCTCTCATTTGTATTAAATGAAGATATTCACAGTCATAATACACGTCGTAAACATGACTTTTACATTTCATCAGTAAAGTTTTGTAACCAAAAAATCTCCAAATTACATCGGCCTACAAATATTTGAGCGTCTCCCAGATCATTTAAAATCGGTACAGAATATTAAAAAGTTCAAAAAGAAATTAAAAACTTATCTGATGGATAAGGCTTTTTATTCAAGCTATAAGGCTGTCAGAGTACATGTAATTTTGTGCATCAATGTCTTAAGTGTCTCGATCTGTTGATATTTTATGTAGATATCTTATAAATAAGTTTTTTTTACTCTTTTTAATTTTTACGTATACTTATTACATTATATTTTTAATGCGTGTATGTTTTGCTCTCTGAATACAGTTAAATCTGTATTTACTTTTGATTGACTATTCCTGTACAATGTACTCGTATATTGTCAAAATGGAAAATAAACTACAATTATTATTATTATATTAAGAAAATTAAAGTAGCTGTTGCGTTGTGTATTGATAACTTCTTGCTATATTACGTCACAAGAATTGAAAAAAAAATGTTCATTTTGATAGAAAATAGAAAAAATGTGTTCCATGTAATGCACTTTGCGAAAATTACATTTTTTACCTCTACAATCCAGTTGTTTTGAACATTTCCAGAAAACGTGGAAAAATATTACTGCTCTTTTATAATATAATTTTTCATAATAAGTCGGCTTAAAAAAATTTTGAATTGCATGGTAAAGATGTACAAACAATCGTTCACATCGATTTAAACTTCAACAATAAAATTTTATCTTTTGTAGGTTTGTATTTATAAAATACCTGAAAAACGCTGTTATATTCAATATTTCCGCAGTGGATTATTGTGTACCTGTAAAGAGATAATGGGATTTGTTTGCATCTAAAAAAAAAATAATAATCTACCGTACCTACTTTTGTTTCATATTTCATTCACGTCCTAATATAGCATAGTTTTTATAAAAGCTGCTTTCAAGTAAATTGTAGTATATCTGGCGTAATAAAATATGAAACGGGCAAAGTTTGTCAACAATCGAAAATAAAGGAATTGAATATTAATAATAATTAGATACACTTTCCCATACATAGAGTTTGGAACTTTATAAATAGAAAGTCATAATGGGCCTCGTTAATTTTTCAAGGGGTTATTATTTGAAACCTTGAAAATATTGATATTGTTCTTGTTTTATGAGTTGTAGAGAAATTAAAGTTGCCTGTGATGTGTTAAAAACTTCACATCTTAGAGTATTATTATTATTTCCATTGCAACCTATATGATCAATTTGAAACAGATGATTAACGTTGTCTTTGAATATTGCTGGTTTTAGTCATTTGGAACCATTCATATAACCATGCACAGGGTTTTTTAACGCTGTAATACTAATAATATTATCATGGTAGTATGAGTTCACAAAGGCGTGCCAATCTAAGCCTCATTTATATGATGTATTAAAGTAAATTTAAGTTTTGATACGTCTTCTACCCATTTCCTCTACTGTATGTAAGAATATCACAGAGTTGCTTCAGTCTACGTCATCTGTGCTGCTTCATTATGGGCGTTTTTTCTAAGAATTTCGTATATTTTTTTAACATTTATCACTTCTGGAAGACAAGATGTGTATGTGTAAATATTTACCCATCAAGTTTTCCTATTATCAATATTTACTGAGATCCGTCAGAAGCATATATAGTTATATTAATTCCTATGTTTGCGTTTGGATAGACAAGTAATCTCACCTT